CGTATTCCATCATGTCCTGTTGGTTCTGCATCATACCTTCGTAGTACTCCATTGCCTCCTTCTCCTCGGACCTTAATGACTTCTCGGTACGTCCAAGTTCCGCTCTAAGCTTGGTCATCACCTCATTCTCCACATTGGGTTCTGATCCCATGTCTGGTGGTTTCAACGTCAGTGCGACCTTCAATTGCGCTTCACTTGCGCTTGATTCGATCAATTCTTCCTGAAGACGATTCAGCATCCTCTCTTTGCGTAGAATGTCTTCTTCCAGCATGTTCATCTTGACCTCAGCTTTCTTGAGTTCGGCGTTGGATGGTTGAGACAGTCGATCGGATCCTTGAATCCTCGCCTGTGCCAACTCCTCGTTCGCCCTCTTCAATTGCTCCCTGATGGTCATGATGAAGTTGTCCTGATTACAAGATTGGTTGCTGAGCTCCTCATTCTCTTCTGATAACCATTTGATCTTGCTTGTATACATTGCTTCCTTCATCTTCATCTCCTCAGCATATTCGTGTTTGTTCCTGGCACTCTGCCTTTGTAGTCCAACTAACTCCTGTCTATACAGATCCCTAATGTTCTCAGCATCTGAGACTGCAGTCATAACCTCGGTTATGGCTCGATCTCTTTGCGCCGATATAGCCTGGATCTCTTCCGTGCCGATGCTCACAACTTGGCTAACCATCTCTGCGCTGTTGCGATCAGCGTACTCCCCTAACTGGGTGAGACGATCCCGCATTGCCACACGATCAGTGTCGATCTGGTATTGCAAATCGTGTGCTGCCGAGAGCAAACAGTCTCTGGATTCTGTAAGCTGGGAGATTCTTCGTTGATTTCCATATCCTTCGACATAACATTCTTCGAGGTGTGCCATCACTACTTCGTGGACTTCGGTCTCGTGTTGTATAATCTGGTTCTGTCTCTGCTCACATTCGACCATCCATGCGTTCTGGTGGTTCAACATATGCACTTCGGCAAGTAGTTGCGCACACCTCGCATTCAGGTCTCCATCGGCCCGTGCTAGTTGTAGGCTGTCAGTGCTTGCCCTTGCTCCGTCTCCAGCTTCGCTGTCCGACGGTACTGGTACAGTTGACCCATCCTCCAATGCTAGCACTCTCACAGCTCCGGTGTCAGTCCTCCTCCTCGTCTCCCTAGGGCTACGGCCTGATCTTGGTGTCCCCCCCGGTGGTGTCGATTGCGCTGACGGGGAACGACTTCGCGCTCTACCTGTCGCACCTTCTCTCACCACTGTCAGAGTCTCCGCTTCGATCGTACCTGGACTAGAGTTGTGGGATGCACTCATCCGATCTGCGGCCGCAGCAGCTGCTCCAAAGGATGCAGTGCTGGCGTCGGATTGTTCCATCTTCAGTGACAGAGGGTAACTGATCTATCCGATGCGTGTGCGTTTAGATGGTGTTGTGTAAGGCCGCAGCACGTACCCAGCTCAAAGGAGTCTGGATACGGCTGATAACCTGCGAACGGATGGAAAGGTGTGCCCTGGCCCCGTTCTAGCCCTTAGTTCAACATGAAGCTCGCGCGCTAAAGCTCCTTTTTACCTGGTTGGGCACTTGAGCCAAAAGTATATGGCAAGTACCTATATAGCAACTATACTGGGACCTCATCCCTATTGACATAAAACGACCATCAAGAAAACCACAAAGGGTCAAATCGAAGGTCTTCCCCCTCTTGTTGGTTTCCTAGACCAACTGTTGATGCGCCCAATGAATGAAAACACATCGCTGCAAAGAGCAATGGATAGCGCAATCAGGAA